TAGTAATCGAGGTACTCGAATCATTCGAGGAATCGTTTCAGCCCTAAACTCAAATATAAAATAGTGCAAACATCATGTGCTTTAACGTGATCAGAGTAATATCTGGTGAATTATTCTTTTTGCATGAATGAATTCAAAAACCTACTACAAAAACCACGGATTGGGACCTGCAACGGTTTATTTTCCTGAAGCAAAGCCTCAGCGAGAGCTCTGGAGCTTTTCCTGGAGTCGCTGCTGACGAAGGCCTGCCAGGTCACCCAGTCGAGGAACGCCAAAACCATGACGATGTCGCACCTGTGAGTTACTCCGTTCGGAACAGGTTTACTATAGGTTTTAAAGGCTAGTGCTTTTTCTTTTTTAAAGCCCGTTGCATCTGTTTTTGGCAGGAAGCAGTGCATCGAGCTGGAGCAGCAGTTTGACTTCCTCAAAGACCTGGTGGCGTCTGTGCCGGACATGCAGGGCGAGGGCGAGGAGAACCACACCGAGGCCGGAGGAGAAAAAGTCCCACGCAGGTAGTTCAGGGAGCCAACGCTCTGTCAGGGTCAACAGAACAGACTGCTCAGAGTTAGGGAAGTACAATAGAGTCAAAAACCATTCATTCGTGAATAAAAATAAATAAAAAATTGCGCCCCCTCATGGTTTTAGCATGTTATCTGTTACTTTAGTTCTGATTTCTTCTTTTTGTCTGTTATTTTTTTTGATTAAGGACAATTATTCCCTCTGGTTTTGCTTTTGGACAGTTGTAATGTGTAACCATAGCAACAAGTTTTTTTTTCTTTCTTTCTTTTAATTTACAATTGGGAACAGTTTTTTCTCTGAACTATGACCCCATTTGTTAGCATGTCATGACTGTCATACAGAAACCGTCTTCTGATTCGTTGCAACACTGACTGCTACTGGAGACCCTTTCTGCCCACAGCATGGTCATTCATAATGGCTCTATGTAGATACTTGGTTGATATGAGTTACAACAACTTTTTAATTTGTATTAAAAAAGTATTTTTGGATTGGATTTAATTAAATATCAGCATAATATGTTAAATATGACTTACAGTTGTTGTTAAACTTGATTGGTTGACATTTTTTCACAAAGCAACTCCGAAAGAGTTCGAAATAAGATTAAATACACTTTAAATATGGCCTTGGTTATGTTTTTTTTTTTAACTGCAAATGTAAACATTTTCTGACTTTATGTTGTGAAGTCACTTCTCTTTAAGCATTTGTTGTTTTAGAGTTCCAAAGTAGTTCTTTACTGAGGTCACAAACTGAAACCTGAACTGTTTGGAAAAAGTTCCTGGAAGCAGCACCTACCTCCACTTCTCCTTACAAAATCTATTTATTTTTTTTATTATTTTTTAATTTTTGTAATTTTTAGGGGACGAAAGCCAGGATCAGGTCGCAAGAACGGGGGAGCCGGCTCCAAAGGCAAAGACAAGAAGCTTTCTGGAACAGAGTCAGAGCAAGAGGTGGGAGATAATTTACACAGTGATGCTTTGAGCCTTCATGTTAGTGTTGGGAGGGGAAAAACCCCCACATACTTTTGTGTTTTTGTGTCGGTGAAAACAGGAAGATTCTGAAGACAGCGAGACGTACGGGGACGAGGACGACGGCTCCCAGTCAAGCACAAACCAGCAGGCTGCATCCATGTTCCACAGGTGAGGAGACGAAGACGCCATGCGTCTGAAAGCTGGTCTCTCCGACAGCCCAGAGCGGCTGAAAAGGTAGAGACGAGTGACCAGACAGGGAACAAACTGGAAGCTGAATGATAGAACCGCTTTCAGGTGAAGTGGTGCTTAAATTAAAAGCACTTTAAATCAAAGTGCTTTTAATTTAACATTTTTTTCTACTTTTAGAGATGATTTATTAAGCTTGAAACAGAAATAATGTCAGGTCTCTATGGCTACTAAAAGCCCTCCATTAGAATTACGAATTTGGACGTGCATGTTTGGATCATTTCAGAAGTTTTTAAAGTGACGTTATAATCCCAAACCAGTAGAGGGTGCTGTTTTTCCACTGGAATCAGAAGAAAAAAACATTTCTGTTGAGTTTAGACATGAGGATCTTATTTTCTATAATGATGCTCACATATTTGAACTATCCACATCCTATGCAAATGTTTTCATACCTCTTGAACTTTTCCATATTTGAATTGTACAAGAAGATATAATTTTGCTTGATATAATTTTGCTGTAAAGAGTCTTGATGTGTGCTCTATATTATTATTTAGGGGTAGGTGTTACGCAGAAATCAATCCAAACAGTTCTGGGGGTTTTTGAACCTTGTTACGTGGAATTCATCGTGATGATGAGAAATCAAAATTGGTATCGCAATAAGAAATTTATCACGATAAATGATAAGCGATACGACAAATGCCCACCCCTTTTAATATTATTATTATAACCATAAGGTTTTATACGTTTCTTAGCATGTTATGTTAAGGAATGTAGAGCTGTATATTTTCAGCATTTTTACCAAAAAAACCTGAAAAGTGCAGCATGCATTTTTATGTTCCTCCTTTGTCTTTTATACTGCTAATATAAAGAGTTTGGAACAGCCCTTAGTGGCCTATATCATACATTTTCTGCTTGTGCACCCTCCCCTTCCCAGCTCAAACCCCCCCTCCCAGTTCGGGAACACGGGCAACATGGTGACAGCAGCCAATCCGGCTCCAGCCCAGGGCACCATGGCGTTTGCCCCTCATCCCTCCATGGTGAGCGTCGCTCTGCCCCCCCCAGCTCCCGCGCCGCACAAAAACGAGGAGGACGACGACGACGAAGACTATGACTCTTAGCTACCTCCGTCCCCTCCCCACCAACATCCTCTCTTTATCTCTCACACACACACACACACATGCAAACACACACACAAACCCAGCATTATTTCCAGATGAAGTTGGCCCCCTGGTGGCTCCTGCAGCAGTGAAGAAGAGGACTCTTCATCTTCATCACAGCCCGCTGACAGAAGAAAGCTGTAAGAGAGAAAACCTTGTTGTATATTAGGTGTTTTAATTTTTTTAAAAAGCTTTTATTTTAATGTAGAGATGGGGGGATTGTTTTTTAAGCTAGCTCTTTGCTGTTTAGTTTTTTTTGTTTTGTTTTTTTGTCTTGACTAGTATAGCACGGTGAACCACAGCAGACAGGATAGGTGTGGTTTATTTCGCCTCACAGTTTTTTGTTTCTTTTTGTGTTTTTTTTTTTTCCTCAAAATTTCTCTGCATAATAAAAACAAATGCAGTTCCTCCGACCCAAAGAAAAATGAACTTTTTAAAGCTCAGGCTGATGGCGAGCCCAGGTGAGTTCTGAAGCGTCATCTTTCATCTTTCAGCCGATTGCTAAGATGCCACTTGCATCTTTCTAGTCGTTCCTGATCTCAGTCGACAAAAAAGCAGATGAATTTTTTTATTTATTTATTTTTTCCTACCATGTGTTTGCAACCTGCTGTTTACTTTTGTTTCAAATTTAGTCTCTACTTTAAACTCAAAATTGATTTCAACCACATCAGCAGGGGGTAAAGATTTTGATCTAAGTGTGTTTTTATTATTTCACTTACCCATAAATTTGTTTGCCTGTAAAATACACAATGAATATTGGACCATGTTTTTTTTTTTTTCTTTTAAAGTTGTTTTTTTTTCTGGCCACACCCTCCAACGTTCGCTCCTCTGCCTTTAACATTCGTTTTTCCTTCTTTTAGATTCTTTATTTTAAACAAACACAGAGGTGGAACTCCCATTAAGCGCCGAGCTTGTTAAAAAATGGTTGCGAGACAGTTTACTCTGTATTGTAAACTTTTAATGTTCTTTTTATTTTGTATGGGTGAAATAAAGTTCACATTTCAATTAAAAAAATAGACATCTCTTGTGGTTTCTTTGTTGTCATGAAAAGAAAAAGAAACACAAGTTCACGTTACGTTCTGTTTAAATGTTGAAGTTTTTATTTTATTTTATTTTTTGTATTCAACCGCATAAAAAAAAGTTTTCATAAATGTTCCTCCTGAGTCGTACGCTAGAGAATCAGGACACCAACAACCTCAACCTGGTTCTCCTTAAATTTCTATGTGGTCGTATAGTTTAAAAGTTCAGATAATTTTCCCATGTAAGCAGTGAAAAATAATCTGCCAATGAAAGTTTTTTTATAAGCATCAAACAATTATTGACTCTAAACAAGCACCTACTTGTTTAGAGTTACTTGTAAGTTATTTTTGTCTTATTTCAAGTTCACCCTGATGTTTGTACTACAAACTAGACCAAAACTACTTTGTTAAACTTATTTAGTTTTTGCAGTGTAGAATCAAGTTATGTTCCAAGTGAAACTTCTTCCACCAATCATTTGTGTTGATCTGTGTATTTCCATTTTCCAGTGTGATGGAGCAAAACGTGCCAAATAGTTAACATTTTTGGACCTCATGGCATGGTTGTTTAAAATTTGTTTTTATATTAATATAACAACGTGCAAAAAAAAAAAAAAATGCAGGCAGATATTTAGTTAGGACTGTCAGCTGGGGCGTCCATCTTTAGAAATGGCTGTTTGGTTCCCCGGCTGGAAGTGGAAAATTGAAACCCTGTGGCATCTTTTGGCAGAGTCGTCAAACTGCTTCCTCCTTCATTTCCCCGTTTCACAACCGCAAATCACATGATTTGTAATCCCTTGGCTCCGTTTTTGTGCCTCCCTTTTTTTGTTTTTCTTGTTTTTGATGTTGCCTCCTCCCTGAATTTTGCAATGCGTAAAGGTTCCCATGGACGCGGCTTCACTTTCCGTGACTCACGCAGCCCTCTGGAAGACAATGCCTTGCATTTATCGGCAGCCTCTCCTCCTTGGGTATTTGAATCAGATTAAGTGCAAGACAGCACAGGTTGGGAGGAGAGCTGCTATGTTGGTCGTCACCTTTGGAGCGTCGGGGGCGGGGGGCTCCCGCTTTGCCCCTCGGAGCGTCTTTAGCCCATTTCCTCTTCCCACTGCCATATTTGTTTGGTTAACCCCGAGCTTTTTACCACCCAACCAAAGAGGCGACTTGGATCTGGTGCCGCAAAAACAACTGCATCCTTCCTGCGCAAGAGTTGACTCAGCGGACTGGGAGGAAGGCGGAGCCTCTTTTGTGAGTGCGTGTCTGTGTCTCTGTGTGTGTGTGTGTGTGTGTGTGTGTCTCTTTGTGTGTGGTACGGAGGAGGGTGGGATCGGAGTTTGGGTGGTTGACTTTAGGATTGGTGTTCAGACAAAGAGCAGTACGGGGGAGGGAAGGGAAGGCGAGCCAGCAGAAGGAAGCGCACTGTTTCCACACAGCAGCCAACAGGGGCCAAAGGTGGCCCCTCTGATTCCCATCCGCTCCCATCAAGCTACTGTCTTCTAGGCTGTCTGCACTTTTTAAAAACAAGAGGAAATGTGAGGGAGGAAAAAACGAAAAAGAAATTCCGTAATATTTTGGCTTGAATCAAATGCACCTTGTGTTTCAGCTCTTAACAATACGACTGTCTCGTTTAACGTGTATTTTATTGTTTTAAGCGTTGCGTCTTTTTGTTGTTTAGTTTGATTGTTTGCTAAAATGATATGAGCAAACTTGCATGAAAACTTGATATGGCCTTAAATGGAAGAATTGACACCTAGTCGACAAGACATGTTCCATATTTAAATTTGTTTGCAGTTTTTTATATGTATGTGCTTGATTAAAGTTTCTGGATATAAATAGTGCTACAAAATGTTTCCCTTCTGGATTTATATAGCTTTGTCTCAATTTGTCATGTTTTATAGGGACAGTATTATGTGAAATCAACTTTTGAGTTTTACGTCATGTTATTCTCTAATCAAGAACATACCTGGAGTGAGAATTTTTTTTCTTTCTTTTTTCTCAAATCTGAGTATGGATTTGAGAAATCCTTTAATCTCCATGGCAACCATTCAGCTGTGCAAAAAGCCTGGTTGGACCTAACCCTGCCTCCAAGAATGAAGCTCCTCCTCTGAGCCTCCGTCTGCCTCCCTCCGCCGCAACTCCTTCAGACTAGCCAGCAGCAATTAGCAAACACCTAGTGGAATTGTGCATCAGCTGAGTTCATTAAGTGAGCTACTTCTCACAGTGCAATGCTAGTGAAACATCAAAGAAGAATGATATAGTGATGACTTCCTGTAGGCAGGGTTTCAGAAAATGCAGAAGTTTTTAAAGAGACAGTGGCTGAATTTAAAGGTGTTAATTTTCTTTGAGCTATCCCAAGAAATCACAATAAATAAATAAATAAATAAATAAATAAATAAATAAATAAAAAAAGCGGAATGAGAATAATGCTTTTATTACTGGTGTAAGAAAATAAAATGGATGAAAGAGTTTCAACATATTTCAGAAATAACCAAAAAAATTGGGGCATACTTCAAATGCAATATATATATTTTAGAAAGGTGCGTTCTTTAACCGAACATTAAAGATTCAAATAAGTAAGTCTTTCTGATTTCTAAATTGCTTTAAGCCTTTTTCTCAGAGATAGGCTTATTATTCAATACGTGGTGTAAAAACTGGACAAACACGAACTAATGGTGTACTTTTCAAAATAAAAGCAATTTTTAAAGGATCATAAGTGTTTTTTTTTTGCCCTTTAAATTGAAATTTTTTTGTTCCTTCTCTTTAAAAGCAAGTCTCTGTCAGATTGTGTTTTTAGCTATCTCTGTCACTAATTATGTGAGATGTGAATAAACAAGGATTTCAGTATGAAATATTTCAATAGAAATTGCTCCAACTAATTGGTTAAAAGCAAACAAACAAACAAAAAACAATATCAAATTAATGATAAATATTTTTTTTCACTTCATTTCACCTGGATAAAATATTTATTATTAACTATGTAATTGTATAATGATACAGTTTAAATAAATCGAGAAATTTAATTAAGCGGTTTATATGTTTCCAAAGGTAAATTTAATAAGCTTTAGTTCAGAACATTTATCAAAGTTAACTGAACGTACTTCAGTTTTTTTCAAAGGAAAATTGGTTTTTAAAGAGAACTTGCCACTCACAAAATGGCGGACGCGTTTAGGTATGGCAGTGTGCCGTCTACATTTCGCCGATTTATTTTGAAATCGGAAGTTTTGCATTTACTTCGTCCCCATTGGCGGGAGCGTGTCAGCTGACTTTGTTTCCTGTTGGGAGAGGAAAAGTTTTGAAACCCCACCCTCCGGCACAGTGGCTGTAAGCTACGACGTTGGAGTGGTCCGAGGTGCTGGCCGCTGAAGGCTGACCGAGGAAGAGGAACGGAGTAAGAACTTCTAACGGAACAGTTCCGCAGTTTTGACACCGTCTTTATGAAGCGGAGCACCGAAGTGACCCGGGCCCGGCGCTGGTCTCCCAACAAGAACTAAAGTTATCTGGAATAGTTTGTTTTTCTTTCTTTCGGTTTTTTCCCTCCTCAGGACTGAAAAGCCAAGCAGATTTGGAGAGCTCTTCCTGTTCCCAGAGTCGGCGCCTCGCAGTTTATGTATGAGCTCCTTCATAACACAGCCAGCATGGATGTTGTGGCGCACGGGAATGCGGGATTTCCTGTGTGGTCACCGCAGTGTTGCGTTCAGACGCACTTTTTGGGTCCTCGGGCTTAAGTAATGAACAGTGGTCAGCGCTTGAAACTTGTCGTAAAGCACTGGTTGGCTGGACTGAATGCTCCTTTTCCTGCTATTCTTCTCCTCCTCTCAGCGCTTCCTGCTTATGGTGGCCACTGCTCTTAATGGCTAAAAATACATAAAAACCGAGTATGAACTACCAAGTGTGTGGGAAATGTTGATTTGGACTCTTATCTGTAAGCGGTTTCATTCCTGAACATTAATTTTGAACTTTGACTCTTCGTACTTGCTGCCCAACAGGTGGTTGTTCTGAATGAGGAGGGGAAAGGAGGACAAATTCAGTCATAATGAGTTGATTCCAGAGTCTTTTAAACACAGGATGATGAGATGATAATCTACTCAAGCCATGTGCGGGGAAACCACACACCACATCAATCTTTCAGAGAGTTAATCACTGCTGACTTTTAGATATTTGATAAATGCTACGAAAAGCAAACCATCTGAGGACTGCTGAAATGGAAAGATTTGAGTTTAATCCAAGAACAAATGGAAGACATTTCACTTTCATTTGTCCCTGAATCCTGAAGCCCACCTGTTGGTCTGACTTTTGAACACACCTCATTGGTCCCTGATGAGACAACAACAAAGACAGGAAAGGGAGCAAGGTGCAATAAAGTACTCCTTTGTACTTTATTTTCAGACCCCTGGAGTGCGCAGTCGGATCCAGTCAGGCAATATAGTGGAGGTTTCATGGAGCCGCTGAAGAACATATTCAGTCGTAGCTCGCTGTCGAACTGGAAGAACTTGGATCAGTCCCAAAAAGGGAACTTCACCAACCCTGTATGGACGGTCTTGTTTGACTATGAGGCCTCTTGTAAAGACGAGCTCACCTTGCGTAAAGGTGACCTGGTGGAGGTTCTCTCTCAGGACTCTGAGATATCTGGGGATGAGGGTTGGTGGGCAGGTAAGGTCAACAACAAGGTGGGCATCTTCCCATCCAACTACGGCTCCTTCAAGCCTAGTGGATATGCCAAGCTACCAGGTACCAGCGTAGTGGAGGAGCTGAACCGTGCTGTGGTTGGCACCGTCGATCCCGAGGAGGTGGATTTCCGTGAGCTGAGCTTGGAGGAGGTGATTGGGGTTGGGGGCTTCGGGAAAGTGTATCGAGGTACATGGAGGGGAGAGCTGGTGGCCGTGAAGGCGGCCCGGCAAGACCCGGACGAGGACATCAGTGTGACAGCGCAGAACGTGAAGCAGGAAGCCCATTTGTTTGCCATGCTCACCCACCAGAACATCATCGCCCTGAAGGGGGTGTGCTTGCAGGAGCCCAACCTGTGCCTCATTATGGAGTATGCCTCGGGTGGGCCACTGAGCCGGGCGCTGGCCGGCCGCCGCATCCCTCCTCACGTCCTGGTCAACTGGGCCGTGCAGATAGCAAGAGGGATGGTGTACCTGCACAATGAAGCCATCGTGCCGGTCATCCACCGGGATCTCAAGTCCAACAACAGTAAGTCCTTAAAGTCTTTCAACTATAAGTCTTTCAACTTATAGTGTTATAGTCTTTAAACTATAACACCTGGCCATCTGTGTCTAACTGCTTTATTTAAGGTTAGGGATATAATCATAGGGACCTTAGTGGTTTCTAAAAGGCTTTTAGGTGTTTATAAAGGTGTCATGGCAATAGCAAATGACTGTTACCAGTTATAAAGTTTTAAAACTCTGGTTTTAAAACAGAAAAAAAAAAATAAAATAGTGTAATGCAGGTCTGTCCTTCTCCCACTTGTTTCTGTGGGTGGCTGAAAGCAAGTTGTCGGTGTCATTGTCAGTCGTTCTCTGGTTTGTAAATTTTTTCCAGTCATGCTGAACCTAACCTTTGACACTAGAAAGAAATTCACACATGGAGTGAAGGGAGTGTCAGAAAAATGGGTGACAATGAGGGGAGTTCTGTCACTGCTCCAGCAGGACTAAATGAATGACTCAATTACTCAAGAGAACATTGTCACGTTCCTCATCTGATTGAAAAAAGCATCATTCATGTGATGTTATATCACGTTGAACCAGGGAAATATCATAAACCTGCAGGACCTGGTTCAAGGCCCTCACAATTTTTCATTGCGGGTTGCTAATACATTTTTGTGGTAGCCCAATCACATGACTTGCATGCTGACAAAAGCAGGCCTCAGTGATAGAGACCACAAGGTCTTTGAAGGAGCCGTCGACGGGACAAGAATACTTTGCTGCCGAGCAAAGGTCAGGAAATGTTTCCGCATCAGCACCTTTGGGACTCATCCCTCGGACTTTGAGACCTTAAGGAGGCGGCGTGTCGGCTCTATCGCACAGAACACATCTCTGCTGTTCCAGGACAGTTTCTATCTTCCAGCTATAGTTTTCAGCAGTCGTCTCTATGGTGTTTTCATTCCTTACATTTACCGTTGTGCAGTTCTGTCATTTCCTGAGAAATACGGCTGTGACTGGTGAAGTTAACCCTCTTGATTCGAGTCGTGTTTATTGCACACTTTGAGGGGAGGAGGGCATTATGCAGCACATCCCAAGACATCCCTCCTCCGTATGCATCAGCCTCAGTCGTCAGATCGTTGACATGATTGTCATCACAGACGTCTTCGCCCTCGCTTATCTTTGCCTCCCCCTGTCAGGGTTTCTCTCCCAGATGAAAACTCTTCTCCTGCAGTGCAGGAGAAGAAGAAGAAGCAGGGAGTTATGGTAATATGGTGTTTGTATATGGGGCAGGCCAGCTCCAACACAATCCCTCTCTGTGTGCGCCGCGAGATCATATCGCTCTCCTGCCTCCTGCTGCCTCTTGTTTTTTAATTCTTCTCTCAAGCTTTTGTCCCCGGCCTGCCTCTACATGTCTCCATACAGACGTAGCCTCGTTGTGTCACTGAGCAACATCCTGTTGTGTTGGAGGAAGGATAGAAGAAAGATTGGTGGGGGTGGAGGGATCTCACCAAGACAATGTCTTTTTTTGTTTTTGTTTAATAGGTTTGCAGATTGGCTTGACAAACAGGTGCAGGAGCATCGAAGGGGGATCTTAAAAGGAAATCAAGCAGAGCTACTTGAGCGATTTAGTTGGTAGTTCAGCAAAAAAAAGATCAGCCTCTGAATGAGGTGTCAGTTCCTCAGAATATTGATGCAAGTTCTTCTTTCTCGAGGTGCCATTTTATTTCATAAATCCGTCACGCTCGTTTTGTCTCCTTTCTTTTATATCTGTATCCCCAAGTGAGCTGTATTGCAACGTTTTGCTTTTAGTTGTTGTTGTGATCTGGTCAATCGAAAACCACAGGTTAAGAAAATGACGAGCGCAGCATAAAAAAGAGAACTTGGGGATAATTGGGCTCATCTGTCACAGTGATGGATGGAGGTGCAAAGTCATTATCCTCGCAGGGCTCATAAACAACAGCCAAGAGTTGCTGTTGAAGCTAATGACCAGCAGAAGATGCTGATTAAACGGGAGCGTGCTGGAGAGGGTGCATTGTGGGGGCGCTTGGGTCAAAGCCAGAGGGCCATAATTTGAATTCCAGTGAACATGGACAAAGAGAAGAGACTACAGGATTGTGTCTGAATGTGTGCAGAGGAGTTGTACTTTTGGCACGTTACAGTTTCAGTTTTTTTTCAACTGTTATTTCTGTGGGACTTTGCATGAACTGAAATCCTTTTAAAGTCCCTTTGATGCACACTGCCAATCAGGTGGACTAAAGAAGAACATCTTTCTTAGAAGTAAATCAGATTTGCTTTTTTAAAATAAAAAAAACAACAACAAAAAAACAAAAGCATTTTCATTTTTAAAAATAAGCATGTCTATAAAGCTAAAGAGCTACTTTAAAACTATAATTGGTAAATTTTAGACTCTACCCAAGCAGGTAATAAACCTTATAATATCAGTTATACTTGTGTGAAAAACAGCAGAACAGCAAAAAGCATTCTGCCCAACAAGCAACTGAAAACTATGGATGCACCGATCCACTTTTTTCACTACCGATACAGATACCTGAGATTTAGTAACGGCTGATATCTTAACCAAAACAGAAGAACAATGCTGAATTGACTTAAATCACACTGTACTGAATTACAAATGTATTTGATGACTCAGCACCAGCACTGGACGCTTAAATTCACCAATATCTTCACAAGCTAGGTCAGACATATTAACACAACACAAATTTAATTTGTTCTCTCAATTCAATTAGGAGTATAATAGCCAATGTCAAATAAGTAACAAAGAAACTGAAACTGACGAAAAAACAATAGGTTGACAACCTTGGTCAAAAATGTAAAAATAAACTGCAACAAACCTTTCAAATAGTTCAGAAAGTGCAATTAGGAATTCTAAGTGTAATGTAAAATAAATAATGAAGCATGATGTCGCTTAGTTAGACCGAACAGATCTGCCCAGTGGATCAGATACATTGTCACCGATACCCGATCTAGAAATGTTTTTCAATATCGAGTCAGTGCATTGCTATTGAAGACCACAACAAAAGTTTATTCCAATACATAAATCACCAATAAAATAGTAAGAACTGCTATAATCAGACAACTTACCCTTGATTGACTGACTGATTGAAAGTATAAAAAAAATTGAGTGCACCTGTAAATTCAGTAAATAATGCAACTGCAAAGTCAATAAATCAACCATAATTTCCTTAATTTTGGGTGATTAGCCAATACTTGCATGTGAAACCAATGTAGGCATGTATCCAACTTAGCAACTATGTTGTAAATTTTCAGACTAAAAAAAGTTGGTATCGGCAATCTGCCAGAAATCTGCAATTGATGCACTCCCCACTTTTTTTTCCCTGTTAAATAAATGTATCAAAGCTAAGACCTTGATGTAATACAGCACAGTCACATTCACTAGGTTACACAGCGTGCAGTGATGATTAGCTAAAAGGCGTCCAACGAAACCAGTAGCTTGTTTCGAGTCATCTTGAATAAATACATGGCGACAGTGTGGAGGAACAACTTCCTTTAAACATGAGGAAACTTCCAGTAAACCAATAAAAGTAAAAAATAAAGTGAAGCTAAATAATAAAAAGAAATACTTGAGAATATTTGTTGAAATTCAAGATAGCAGTGTTGGCTCTTCTTCAGACTAGCCAGCAGCAATTGACAAACACCTGGTGGAACTGCACATCAGCTGAGCCTATTACACAAGCTACTTCTCAGTGCAATGCTGGTAAAAATGTTGTTAAATGGTTCATGGAGGAGCCATGTTGTGACGACTTAATGAAGGCGGAGTTTCAGAAAGAACAAGAGCTTCTTAAACAGACAGAGGCCCAATTTCAAGGCGTTATTCTATGAATTTAAATTATTTTAAGTCATGTTTTATATTTACAGCATTTTTTTTAACACCTGAAGGTAGCCTAGATACTTGATTGTGCTATAAAATGGCACTTCATGCCTATTTTAAAACCTCCTTTTTGCATCTGTTTATGATAAAGGAACCAGCTCTGGCTTTTAGGTCAAATTTGCTTTGACCTAAACAATCTTTATGTATGTTAGAACTATGGGCCACTGAGTCTCTAATCAGAAATGGATTATCAGTCAGCGACATGTTTTTCGTCCTTGTATTTCACAATCCGTCAGGTTCAGCTGTGCTCTTTTCACCCTGTGTGTTTTTTGTTTTTTTATTTTCCTGCAGAAAGCCTTCATAGACCCAAAACCAGCTATATGCAACACCACAGCACATAAAACTTTGCAGAGAGCTTTAGTTAGAAATGCTTTAGGGGGGAAATGCGCCAAGCTAAGCACTCTCTGGGCCGGTGCTTAGAGACTTCTTTCTCAGGAAGAAGCCGCAGATAGATCTTGGATCAACATGGCATTTTTTTTTTTTTTTGCCGCTAGTGGACAAGCATCTGATGCATCTCTTTACCAGCATGTTTTCATTCAGGGGCTCCAATGTCCCACGATGTCGCGCACTTAAAAAACAAAACATCAATAGTGTGTGATGTTTCCTGCATGTAGGGAATTGCTGTCCCTGCTTGTATTATGTTCTTGATACATTTTTTTTCTTATGACTGTTTAAATTTAGCAAGTTAAATGTTGAGCTGATATAGCGATGGGTTCCTTTGATGATCAAAAGTACACAAGGTTGCTTAGAGTTAAATAAGGTTGTGAAATTTATTCTCAAATTATGCGCAGGCAAATCACATTGGCAATAAATTAAGCACTAAAGAAATAAACCATGTGTAACATAATCTGTACCAACTCACACTAGAGACACTGCCATCATAATTTTCTGTCGAATTTATGATCTCGGTTATTTTTTTCTTCAAGGATTTGACTTACTGTTACAGATTTTATCTGCACTGAGAATATTTGTCTCAGCTTTTCTTCCATGAGTGGACATTAAGCACTAAAACAGAGTCTTTGAAAAGAAATAAAAACTTTTAATCTGACTCAAGCATTTTCATATTACCAGTTAGAGCAGTTAGCAAGGTTAGCATTATAAAACCTCCAGTCTCCACGGGCCACAGCCGTCTGCTACTAGCTAAAGTCCGTGAATACTTGAGATCCCTTCTAAAAATGCATAG